CCCCAAAACCCCAAAACCCCAAAACCCCAAAACCCCTAACTATATATATTTAATTGAACCATCTTACATAATATTATTCTCAGGTTACCAATAATGGAAATCCCACAGACAGATTTCTTCTATCTCAACGAGAGAATTCTAAGAGAAACTCCAGAGAATCTTGAGGAGTTGGTAAAATCTACCAAGCAAGAATGGCTAGATGCTCCTGAAGACCAACCAGGTCTTAGAAAAGTAAAAAAGTTGGAATACGTCAACCTCGTCTGAGGTATCTACCTCAATCTTTTTCAAGAGCTTGATATCGAAATCATGGAAGAGCTCTATACAGAACTCATTGAGAATACAAGCGATCTTACAGAAGGATACAATGGGACTGGTCCTTATAGTGAGCACGGCTACAGAGCAAGAATGCTCCTTGTTATGCACAATTTGTTCAATGATCATGGATGTTATGGGAGATCTCAGAAATGTCAAAATTTGCTCAAGGAATTATATGAGAAAGAGAAAGATATCTATATAGCATTCTGCCTTATTTCTTCATATTTAATGGAATCTTATGATTCATGGTCAATGATGTGTGAGACTCCAGAACAGTATTTCGAAACTTTCGATGATTTGATCGAAGAGTACGAATTCTCAGAAGAAGTGATGGCTAATTTCAAATTGAGAAAACTCAAGTTAAAGGGTAAGCTGGTTGGATTTATCATATAAAGTAATTTTCTTGACAGTGTTAGATTAGTTATAATCAGTTGTAGAAATATCCTTAATTTTAAAAGTAGAATATTGCAGAGAATCTCTGGCATATCCAAAACATTGAGTGTTAGGATCGACTCTTCAACTATTCCTAAAACTGTTAATTTTACATCAAAATTTTCTAACTCCATTTTCTATAGCTGACTACTACTCAAACACTTGCCCTGATAAAGCAACACCAATTCTGGACGAGATGATTGAAAATGTCTCAAAGATAAATTCTCTCTATTTCCTATCAGAAATTGCAAACGAAATATTTTCCTGCTGCATAAAGAAGCCAGAAGAGCTACTTAAGAGAGAAAAGGTATTGAAAGAGTTGACTCTGAAGAACTTTGAGGATCCTGCAGATCTGGAGAATAACATTTCTAATATCCATTTCTGCCTCATCCACCTCTTCCTCAACGCAAGTACGTTCGTTATATCATTCTCTAGGCAAAAAGGACGAAGCTAAAGCTACTGAGATGAAGGAGAAGGTGATGCAGATCGCAGAGTATAATAACATGAACGAGTACTCTCAGATCAACTTTGAGATCATCATGTGCCTCGGCCTGTTCGTCGTAAATAATGATGTCATTGATCAAGGAAGGCTATTCCAAATGAGAAGGAAGTTGACCGAACTAGCTAATTTTGGAGAGGACCCCAAGGAATGATGGAGGCTGAATTATCACCTTATTAGTGTATATGGGCTAGTCATACAGATACAAGAGGCTATGGGAGTCCAAGTTGATCAGGATTTGCCACATAAGTATGCTAAGGCATTTGAAAATGATAAGTTGTCTTATATATCATTCTTTTCTTCCCTTGAAAACTCCTCCAATGTCTCAATACTTCCCTGTGTGGAAAAAGCATTAGAATACTGTGATGAATGAGGCATAAGAAAGACTCAGAAAGGAAGAATGAACTTAGAAGTCCTCAGCTGTATTCTCAACATCCAAAGCTCAGGAGTTGGTATGAATATTGGTAAAGAAAAACTCGCTGAATATGTTGAACTAGTTGAAGCTTGTGAGTACGATTATGCTCAAATTAAACTCCAGACTATCTATTTAATCCAGACCTCAATACTCGAAGGAACAGGTGACTACCAAGGCTTTTATAAAACAAGTGAAAAATTGCTCAACCTCAATCCTAACTCCACCGAACAGCCGACAGTTATCTCTGGACTATATGAGAAAAGAGGGCATAGGGTCTCTATCCCAGTTCTCCTTCCTTAACCCCCTTAACCCCCTTCAAAGAGTAAACTACATTCTCAACACAGGCCAAGCAGAAGAAGCCGCCAAGTCAGCAGAACAGTTCCTACAGTGGGCTGCCAAAGTGGGCGAGGAATCCGATGAGTATTATAAAGCGCTAAAGGTTTGGTTCTTCGTCACATCCGTAAGTTTTGGAACAGAAGAGGGATTTTGGGACTTTGAGGGCTGAAAAGAGGCTTTTTATAGGGGATGTTGATGAGAATGAGGGATGTAAGGGAGAGAGGTATGCTTTTGAGGAAGTATATTAAGAATTCAAGGATCTATGAAAGAATTACAAAGAAGAAATTTGGGCAAAATTCAGTTGAATATTTAGAAGCAATGAGAGAAGTTGGATTTTCTCAATCAGCTCAAGGGTTACTCCATGAAGCTTACAAAACTTGGCTATCATGTCTTGATATTAGTAAGGAGGTATATGGCTCTGAAAATAATGAATATACTGTCTCTATTCTTCTTGAGATGGCGATAAGCAAGGCTACTCTGAAGCAATATGAAGATTCGATAAATATTCTTGAAAAGTCCAAAAAGATTCAGGCTAAAATTAGTTCCAAAGTTTCTCCCCTATATAAAAAGATCATGTACATTGAGGATCAAATTCTCAAGGCTGAAGAGAAATTTGGGGTCAAGAAACCAGCCTCATTCTTCACTAAAGGCGGCAAAATTATTAGTATAGGTGTAGCACTTGCAGTAATAGGAGGAGCAGCCTTCCTATACTTGAAAAAGAAGAAATAAAGCATGAGTGATTGGAAATCCCTAAAAGTTCAATTTCTTCAAATTTACACGGGGTTTTGGGGTTTTGGGGTTTTGGGGTTTTGGGG